ATCATCCGTGATTCCAATAATTCAAATGCTTATAAAAACGGTGTGCTTTTTTAAAAAATAACAATATTCTGTTCCGATTCGGCTGGCAGCCATGGCTTTGAAAACAGAATTTTATTCCAAATTTTGATTCCTGCAAAATAATAATTTATTTTCCATATCCACCTATTTAGCTCGCTCTAAACAAAAATTTTTCAAACCAGTCGCAGAAGAAAGTATTAAAAGTCTATGATGACGTTACAGGTTCTCCAAATTATGAAACAGCTAAAGGAATGAGAATGAAGAATTCTTTTTAAAAAGCTTTAGAAAAACCTGAGACATCTGGTTTGGCTTGTACGCGCTGTTTAAACAACTATTTCGCCATTATGCTAGATTCTTCAAGTGAAGATGAAAGTCAGGAGGATACATCCGACATTTTCAGCCCCGATGCAATACTCATTACTTCTTATTACATACATATAATGTTCCAATTTTTAAATTCAAGTACTAAATAAAATGAGCATTATTAAAAATTACTAAGTTTTCCATTTTTTTATTTACCTAAGTAACTTAATTTACTTACCTAAGTGTTTCTTAAATAAATAACATAAAAAAAGCTGTTTAATATACAACGCTTATATAAATGGACTAAAAATTAGAAAATAATATTTCTCAGTCCCATAGAACTTGTTTTGATAAATTTTGATTTTGAAATTTTAGCAAAAGTCATAAACCATTTATGAGATTGAAAACAAAAAACGTGGAGCGCATGCAATACAAGGCATTTGATTTAATTGACATTGGTCAAACTACATAACATAGACGTAAAATTTCTACAGAGAAAGTACAAATTTGAGATCGATTTTAAGGGGTCGTTATTCATATATCCACATTCATACATATATTACCCTTCATATAATTTCAGGTCTATAACAGGCGCCCCACGCTTTTAATTTTCAATCTCATAAATGGTTTATAATGACTTGCCAAATTTCAAAATCAAAAGTTATCAAAACAAATTCTATGGGGCTGAGAAATATTAATTTCTAATTTTTAGTCCATTTATAAAATCGTGGTATATTAAAAAGTTTTTTTAACAGACTTCCAAAAAAGGAGGAGGTTATCAGTTCGTCGGAATATTTTTTTTTTTGTTTTATGTATGTTACCGCATAACTCTGGACCACGTCAACCGATTTCGATAATTCTTTTTGCATATATATATTAGAGTGGTTTATAAAAACACTCTTTTTGAAAATTCGTAAACGCTAAATCAGAATATTGATATTTGTGATAAAAAACGTATTTTTTTAATTTTGAAAATCTGATATCAGACTGGTAATCAGCAAACCTTGAAACTCACCGAAAACGAGTTGCAACCCTTGACAATGTTTAAAACGTTCAGTATCAACGTTTTAAGTCTAGTAATTATTTTTTTTCCTTGATCGCCATATTGGATCCGCCATTTTGAATTAAAAAAATTGACTTCAGACTCGAAATCGGTGACCCCAAAAACTCTTGAGTGCCGGTTTTCGAACTAATCCAACCATTTTTTAAAAAAATGGATCACCAGTTTGTATCCGCCATTTTGAATTTTGAAAAACTGACTTCAGACTCCTAATTAGCAATCCCAGAAACCCCCTGGCAACATGTTCCAACCCATGACAACGCGTAAATCGTTCAGTATCAACGTTTTAATTTTACTAGTCTCTTTTCGAGAGCATATTTTCGGGCACCAGGCCCATTATAACTGCCCAAGACAGGCATGTAATTAAGGAAATGTTCCCCAATAATACCAGAGTAATTATATGTAAAAACCACATTTTTAGCTGCATTTTAATATGCCAAGAAAATAAAAAATTAAGAACATCAGCGTTTTTATAAAAAAACCACGAGCGCGACTTCTAAGAAAACTTTTTTTCAAAATAAAAAACACGTGACTCTTTTTTTTATCACAAATAACAATAATTTGAGGTAGCGTTTATGAATTTCCAAAAAAAAAATTTGAATATATATGAGAATTGAAGTCGGTTTTGTTTTTTGCTTAAAAATTACTTGTTTGTTTAATTTATTTTCTACTTTTTAGTCTTGTCTGTATAAACTTTTGCAATAGATATTAAAATAATTCAACTTGCAGTGAAAAGAGAACAGAAGACTATGCAAGCAAAATATTGTTTGCTCGCGTTTAGTATAAACATACATATGTACATTAAAGTGGTCCAAAAATGTATGCGAAAAAATTATTTCGGATTTTTAATACCGCCACCCCCTAGGATTGTTCTATACCGAAAAAATACACCCCTAATGGTTTTATTTTGAAATAAAAACAAATTTAGGGAGTGCTCAAATCGCACTAAGTTTTCCATGTATTTTATATGGGAAAAAACAACTTTTCGTAGACATAGTGTAGAATTCTTTAAAATCCATATTTTTCGATCGGAAAACTTTGCTTATATTTAGGAGATTCCCAGTAATAATACCCAGTTGTTTCTTTATCCATTTTTTCATGGTAACTATATTTTACAGGTCCCCAGAAAATGCAATGGGGGGACCAATAAAAAAGCTTTAATATTAAAAAATGGTTAAATAAACAATTGGATAATGATATTGGAAGTCCCTTGAAGAGAACCACAGTTTTCCTATCGAAAAATATTGATTTTCAAGGGTTTTATACCATTTCTACGAAAAGTTGTTTTTTCCCCATATAAAATACATGGAAAACTTTGAGCGCTGTGAACACTCCCTAAATATTTTTCGATTTCAAAAAATAGGGGAACATTTTTTTACCTTCAGAACAATCATAGGGGGTGGCGGCATTAAAATTCCGACTTTATTGTTTTTGGACCACTCTGATGTACATACATACATATAGCAGCAGTTAATTTCATTCAAAAAAAATGGTGTGTCGTCCGTTTCCGCTGTAGCTTATGTAAATAGTGCATATATTTAGGCGCAATATTTAAGTTCTTCTAGCGGGGCGACATCTAGAGTCCTCTAATTGTATGTCTTTGATATGATGCCTACAACGAGGTTGATATCTAGAATTTACCATAAATAGCTTTGCTACATTTATAGTATAAATGGTGGTCTGGACATACAACATGGCAAGTTGAGAAAAGCGTTGTAATGTAAAATACTTGACATCCGCATTCGCATCCGCGACCGCGTATGTAAGCTGTTAGACATCCGCATCTGCATTCGCATCCGCGGATGGCTAAAATTCCACATTCGCAATATCCCTATTAGGCACCCCAATAGATGACGCATTTTCTTCCATAAAAAGAATGTCAGGGAAAAAAGTCATAAAAAATCAACGGAATTCTTTCGCAACTTGAACGCGTGGCATACCAAATTTTTTGCACAAAGTTTGGAATATAGATTTAAATTTTTTTCGTTAGATAGCGAGCTAGTCTTTTATAAAAAAAACTAAATATATCGAGGAAAGTGTACCACACTGTCAGGGAAAAAAGTTACAAAAAATCAACGGAATTCTTGCGCAACTTAAAACTTGCGTGGCATACCAAATTTTTTGCACAAAGATTTAGATAGATGTTTTTTGTTAGATAGCGTGCTAGACTTTTATAAAAAAAAACTAAATATTAAGTGAACGAAAGAAAAATTGAAAAAAATCGTCTTATATTGGGGTGCCTAATACTTTTGGCCAAGGCTGTATATACAGCGGTTTTCGAATATTTTTGTAAATAAAAAAAAAATTATCATTATTTTTCAAAATCCTTTGCCTTAAAACGTTAGATCAAATTGGTACGAAAAAAAAATTGTAATTCGGAACTTTAACAATCTAGCCTATAAATTTGATTTGGGAACATTTCGCCATCATGGATTATAGGTTTTTGTGATTTGCAAGCATATTTTGCATTTTTCACATAAAAAGTTAAATTCCAAAATGTAGAGAATTTATTTCCCAACATTTTTTAAATACACAGTTTAAACCAACAATATGTTTTATTGTAAGTAATTAGCGAAACCTGGAAAATTTGGTACATTGTCACTGTTTTCGCCATTTTTCAATCATTTCATACGAAGCCTATCTAATGCCAAAGTTTTTTCACAACTTTTATAAGAGCCTATAAGAACACCCCCGCTGTCTACAGTTTTTCGGCAAGACACAGAGCTTATCTTCAACATAAATTTGATGACAATGTACCAAATTATTTATATAAATTGTTTATGGGACGTTCCACGTCAATCGGAATAGTACGAACGCCAAAATTTTATGGGACGTATTAGGAAGATTAAGGCCTTAAAATGATCGCCTAAGACAGAAAATGAAATGTTAATAATAATAGATTGGCGTTTACACATATGTATGTGTTTGGCCGAGCTTCTCCTGCGATGTTGTCAGACAAAAGTGACGTACCTACAGTTTTACGCCGACTTCGAACGGCGATTGTATTTTTTTATGATAAGCTGTTTATCATGGCAGAAATACCCTCGGAGGTTTTCCAAGCCTGCCCAGGGGCGACCGCTGTTAAGAAAAAACCTAAGGTTGTATACAGTGTGAATCAAGGTAGAACGTTCTTAATTTAACATTGAACCATTTTTCTTTTTATATTCCCCACAACCTATTTATTTTTCACCACCACACCCACCAACATAAAGTCATCATTACTTGCATATGAACTTGCGGATTTATTTCATAAACTTTTAAATACAATACTTATAAATATAAATACATTTACAACGTTTTTAATTCTACATACGTTTTGCCATTATTTACAGAATATAAGTGTAGGGGAGGTGTTACAAAAGATCAACTGTTTAAAATAACAATTTTATCAATCTTTACGCCTACCTCGTATGACTGAAAATGTTCGCGAATTTTTGTATAAATATCGGATAGCATAAAACAAAGATTTAATTGTTTTGATGAAGATACAATTTTGTTTTGTACAACTCAATGTTATTGTTGATAGTAGCTAAATAAAAATTGCTTTGTATTGTGTGCCTTTATAACTCAGTTCACTAATGATTTCAGCTTAGTAGCAGTAAATAGTTTGCCGGTGAGTAAATGATTGACTTTTAAATGATTTATAAAATAGAGCGGTTAACTTAGAAGATTTGCAATCAAATTTGGTTTTAATATTGGAAAAATATTGTTGAACGAAAACCGAAGTGGTTTCGCATGCAGTGGGATACTTTAAAGAAAAGGTTTGGAGTATTTCAAAGCATGTATCTAAACTGTCAAGAAATCTGTCGAATTTGTATAAGCGCTTATCAAAGTAAATATAAAAACTACTTATTTCTGCATCCGAAACACCTTCGACAATAAGAAACGGCTGAATGGTAAATCCAATTGAATAATATTTAAGGATCAATTCGTTGATTTTCCGCTCTTAGTCGTTAATAGAGATGACACGCAAAACGAAACTCTCTTGTGCGTCGGCTATTGTATATTTTTTGTTAAATTTTTCGCTTTTAGTTTCAATCGTGTAGTTGGAGGAAGAACTGCGTTTAAAAGCATCGTTAAAATGTAGTCTTGAGATTCTAGGAAGACAAGTTCATTTTATAAGGATTTTTTTTCATATATGGGGATTTTTTTGAATATTTGTAAACCTTTGTATTCACTCGTTTTGGCGATTGAAAATAGCTCCTTACAATAATCCGTGTGGATATTGGATTCATAGCAACTTGAAATATTATTTCTGAATAATTCCCATTTTGTGTACATTAGTAAATCTTTTCCAGGATACATTAGATTAAAGTCAATCTTTATCTAAAAATATAATTGTGTTAGTTTGTAAAATTTTAGTCACTATAAAAGTGTATTTGTATACTGTTTATTACCAATTCTGGCGCTCGGGCGTCTGATTATTTGGGCCAAGCATTTATAAACTCAATGTTGTTCATTACAGCTAAAACATTCTGACGTAACTGATAAGTTTTTTGCCAATTGTCGCGGACTTCATTCCAATTCGAACTGTTTCTGCCTAGTGACGTCTTCAGAGCTGTAGCAATGAACAAATCGACCTCTTGTAAATCTTTGTTTTGACTTGATATTGGTGGAGCGGCTGATGCATTAGCAATATAACAAGAGCTTTTCCGCTGTTTTACTCGATAGTTCACGTACTTTCCATAAAGCTTACCGCTATGATTTTTTTGCCATTCCGGGGAATATAATAGTATTCCTGGAAAGAAACAAAAAGTTTAAATAGGTCCAAATAGTTTTTAAAGGTTTCATAGAAAGTCAGTAATTACTTTTGAATCAGCCTCCTTAGGAAATCTTACTAATATTATAAATGTGAAAGTTTTTATGTTTGGATGTTTGGGAAATCATCACGCGGAAACGACTCAACGCATTTGACTATAATTTGGTACGCAGATAGCTTATGGGCCAGATTGGTTAATAGGCTATTTTTTTAAGAGTTGCCACCTGTTAAAAAAGTTTAATTTATTTAATATGTGGGAACGACTGAATGGATTTGCAAGAAAATTTGCACACAGATAGCTTATGACCTAGGTTAGAAAGTAGGCTACTTTTTTAAGAGTTGCAACCTGTTAGAAATGTTTAGTTTAATTAATACGCGGAAATGAGTGAACTCATTACATGGAAGTTTTCACACGGATAGCTTATGAGCTAGGTTGAAAAATAGGCTCCCTTTTTTAAGAGTTACCACCTGCTAAAAAAGTTTAATTAAACTAATACGCGGAAAAGTCTGAACGGATTTGCATGAAATTTTGCAAGCAGATAGCTTATGACCTACAGTGGCAAATAGGCTAATTTTTTGAAAGAGTTGCCACCTGTTAAAAAAGTTGTAATTAAATTAATACGCGGAAACGACTGAACAGATTTGCATGACATTTCGCACAGAGATAGCTTATGACCTATGTTGGAAAATAGGCTACTATTTTAAGAGTTATCACGTATTAGGAAAGTTTAATTAAATTAATACGCGTAAATAACTGAACTGATTTGCATGAAAGTTTGCACACAGATAGCTTATGACATAGACTGGAAAATAGGCTACTTTTTTAAGAATTGCCACCTGTTTGAAAATGAAATTTTGCTCAAAGATAGTTTATGACCTGGACTGAAAAATAGGCTACTTCCTTAACCGGGTTTCCGATCAGAACGAAATTTAGTACACTTACTACGGATTTCGGAAGGATGGTCTTAGACTGAAAGTAAGTCCGATAACTCAAGGCTCCTCCCATACAAATTGGAATTTTCATATTACATACATATCTCTGGAAGTATTTGTGGGAGAGAACTGAAACTTGGTATAGTGATATGTATGTGAAATTAATGTTGGCAATAATCGTTTGATGTTTTAATTAGTTAGTTTATTCGATTAAATTCAATCTGATCACAGTTAATCATGATTAATTTTAATCCGACTAAACAGTTACAGCGATTAAAAAATTAATTTTTAATCATTTACTCTTAATTTGATCAAGTAGGTGTGGTGATTAATTAAGTTATGCTGGAATTTCCCTGTGCACACTAAGCAAGTTAATCCGGTATAGCTAAGTCGGGTTTCCTCATCAATCTAAGTAATTTGGTGTGCATTTTCATTAAGATATACACCAACAAACGTTTTACAAACTAGGTGTGTAAAAGTTCCCAGTTTATGTATTACTAATAACAATAATTATATTTTTTTATATTATGTGCTTTTTATAAGCGTAAAACGCAAAATAATTACAATAACTGGTGTTTGGTTTCCAACTCGGACAAACTAGACAAATTAATCAGATTTTATTTTTAATTGGATTAACGATTAATGTTTTAAATTAATTAAACGTAATCGCAGCCAGCGATTAACAATTTAAAAAAATTTTATCATTAATCGTACAGTTGATTACGACTAATTAATTTGAATTGTCAAACGCGATTAACATTTTAATCGTTAATCAGATTAACAGTTTGCCAACACTGAGTAAAATCATGTTCATATTCACGGAGAAAAATGGACGTTTTTGGAAAAGAGGCGTAGCACCTCCCATACTGACTGAAAGTTTCATATTGCATATCTCTTCAAATGTTTTGGGTAAAGCACTCAAGCTTGGTATGGAAATACATATGTATGTATGTATGTGAAACTAATACCATACTCATGGAGAAAAATGAGAGTTATTGGAAAAGGTGGTGTGGCAACTCCCATGCAAATCGATTTTTCTATGCTGCATATCTCTGGAGGTGTTTATTGCAGAGGACTGGAACTTGGCACCGAGATGTGTATACAAAATTAATTCCATACTCATGGAGAAGAATTTGCGTTATTCGAAAAGGAGACATGGTTCCTGCCGTACAAATTTACTGTTTTATACTGCTTAACTCTAGAGGTGTTCATGGTAGAGTACTGGAACTTGGTACTGGGGTATGTAAAATCAATTCTAAATTCATGGAAGAAGATTAGGGTTATAAGAAAAAGGCGCGTGGCACTTCCAGTACAAATTTACTTTTTCTTGCCACATATCCCTGGAAGTGTTTGTGGAAGAATACTGGAAATTGGTATGGAGTTGTGTATACAAAATGTATCAATCGCTCATGGAAAAAATGTGAGTTATTAAAAAAGGAGGCATGTCGCCTCTTTCTTAATACATATCTCTGGAAGGATAGAAAATCTCTCGAAGTATTTTAAATTTGTTATGGAGATTTATTTTATAAGTGCCGTACTGACAGAATAAATTCCATTAAATGGAAAAGGGAGAGCCGGGTTCGGCCTTATAATCTAAAGCTCTCTTGAGGCATTTGCTACAGTAATGAGAAGTGGTATTTTATCAAGGCCAGGTTACTAAATTTGAGTTGGAAATATTAGAACTCGCCGTGGCACCTCCAAGAAGGTTACACGTTCACGCGTCGTATACCTGGAAACATTTTAAGGTAAACTTAGAGGGATTGATATCTTTCGTATGCCTAGCGTGCAGACGAGATTTTATAATTTCATAGTTTTAAACGGCCTAAATACCTTAACTCGCTTAAAAAATAACGAGCTATAACGAAATGGGCACAGAAATAAAATCTAACATCATTAAATTATTTTTCATATTTGTAGAAAAGCGCGGGGTGAAACCCGCGGGTATAAGCTAGTAGTAATATAATTTCTTCAAGTAAATTTTTAAAGTCGGACGAGCTAATCGATATTTCATTAAAAACGACTTCTTCGACAATGATGTTAATTAGATCATCTCGGTTTGCATTTCCAAATTCCAGATTTTTTATGGAACTCTAAGAGAGACTTGCCTTTTGATGTTTCCAGGAGTAAGTTTTCCAAATTCTGCATATTTTACTAAAATATATACATAATTACTGGAATATATACACTGTTGTGCATATCAATAGCAACAGAATATAACGGCGAGTTAATTAATGTCTTTTTGCATTAATGTCTTTTGTATTAAATTTCAATTAATTTTGTTGACAAATATAATTTACTATGTAATAAATACAATTCAAGTCAATGTTTAAAATTTTTCTCAAAATTCATTAAAAATCTGAAAATTTTGACCTAAAATTTTAACTTTTTACTTAGGTGCCTTTAACAGATTCTAATTATGCAGTTTTGTAGCCCATTCAATTTGAGCAAAAATAAAGTGCAAGTTTCAAACAGGTCCGATGTCGCAGACATTTTTTTATATATGTTTTATATATATTGGCTTGAATGACATATATTATGATGCATTTACTTGGGGAGTTTTTGCACATTCGATGATGAATGGCTAGTCATTTTTGAAAAAGAAGAATTATTGGTAAGCCACTCTGTCACTTTACTGGGCAAAGACATAGTCTCAGCGACAATTCCATACTGAGAAAAAAGAAAATATCTTAAAGGTAATATTAAATAATCCATATCATCAATACCTACCTCCTTTTGCCTGTTTTTGAAATAAATGAGAAAATCAGAAATAAACAATTTTTCACGGTATTCCGTTCGAAATCCACAAGGAGGAAGATAAATATTTGAGGCTTATATATGTTACCTGTGCCGCTACACAATTAAAATATATCAAAAGTATACACATACTGATTTGTAAAGCCTTATATTATCGAACTTACTTTTTAATTACTTTGCTCAGCCCCCAAATTTATGGGATCAATTTGCACTAATTCACTTGTGTATACAATACCATCAATATATTAGGGGTATTATCGAGGTCTTGCACGATGCACGGATTGCACGAAATGCAAGAATACTATTCCAAATTTCGAAGAGTAAGAGAGCACCCCATTGCAAAGTGGTAGCATGCATGGGTAGCAAGCAGCGAAATTATGTAGCAAATACAATAACAAGAGACATCAAAAAAAATGAAGTGAGCGGGATGAGGGGAATGAGAGAAATATGTAGCAATTCCAACAACAAAACAACCAGCACAGGGGCCCACTTATCTTGCTATGCCATTTTGCAAAATATATACATGGGTTTCGACGTTGCATATTTTGCGGCGATAGGAAATATTGTTTCCCATGTATTTCGTTGTTGTGTGTTTGCGAGTTATGAAATCCGTGCTACGTGCAATGGCTTTGCCTATTGTATTTTTTCCATTTTTATATTAAAATATTAAATAATGAAAATATTTCACTCCGTGTGGTTTGCTTGCGTGTTACTGAATGAAAATTGCACAGAATGTTCCGTTATCCAAAACACAGCGAGCTTAAGCATGGCTATTTTAAATCAAGCACGTTCTACTTGATCTAAGACTGCGCAATTGTAAATCAAAATAGCTCAATCTTGATCTAAAATTGCGCAATTGTAAATCAAATTAGCTCAATCTTAATTTGAGATGGCTACAATTTTTATTAAAAACGCATTTTTAAATCAAAATTGCCAATTTTAATTTAAAGTTTTTCATAGTTAAAACAACATTGTTTTAGAAAAAATTGAGCATTGTAAGATTAAGTATGATCGTACTTAATTTTACAATGCGTTTTTTCTCTGAGTGTAAACATTGACCTATGAGTAAAATTCTATGTATTGTGTTGTAACGAAGCGTTTTCCTGCGAAGGCCCCGACCCTTCTGTTTTCTATGCTGGGGTATACTCGCCGTGCCCATGGTCCGTTAAAATAAATTTCTATTGTGGGGCCGTTGCAAATAGTACTTTATTTAAATATTCTTATCCTCTAAAACGTGTTAACACTTATGGTCTGATTATGCATACTTCGCATAACTTCGCACAACTTGGCATAAACTTCAA